AAATTAAAACTTCCTATTCAATTACTAACTCATAATAGACCGTTTAATCAAATTATCATTGAAAATCCTTTTTTCCCACATTTTAAAACGTAGGTCTGGGAAACAATGTTTCCTGAGTTCAAGTGATCTGTAAAATTTAACGATGAAAAAGAAACATGGAAGATAATTGAATATATTGTCAAAAATGACAGTGTTGGTTTAATAAAGACTTTGAAGCGGATTGCTACACTAATAATCCTTGACCTAAACTCAGCAGTCTCTGCTACAGACTCTTCTAGTTTGGAATGTTTCCCAAGATTATCTAAGCTACCTCAACACTATTGAGGAAATAGACGTAAGTCGTGGAATACGTTTATGGGAGTGATGCTATGTAGTGGATTTCTCTCTAGGTATGTGTAGTGCATTGTCTGACAGAGAGCTTAGTCATTATGTGCACCTTCGGGTATGATGACCACGTAATGATTATTGTTATTAATTGCTAGTGAGGTCTCTGGTTCTGATGACGTAAATAATGTTTCATAATATTTCTTTGTTTTAGCCATTCGGACGTTGTGTTTACCACAGGTCCATATGTGTCGTTAAACGCTTTGCGAAATTTGCGTTATTACAATGTGACAACAGTTAAAACAATTTCCCGGCTTTTTATATTTTTCAGAAGTCCCCTGGTAAGTAGTAAACTCTATAGTAACTTTAACTTCTTTGTAGTCAAGTGCTTTTGAGAAATTCGTTACAATGGTAAATTGGTTATTAATGGTAATGAAGCAAACGAGGGCTAAGTCAATTGTAATCTAATAAATAAATAACTTCTACCTAATTGATTTCAGTAGTACATTAATTAAACCGTGCAATTACAAGAAATTTCTCCTGAAAAATTATTAATAATTTAAAGTTGGTTTGGTTAGTACTAGACAACTTTGCTATAATAAAAAAACCGCCCATTGTAAACTTATTATTTTTAAGCTTCCTCAGTTAAAAAAATGATCAAACAAGAGGGATTTGAAAAGACATTGTCTGGAGTTCATTAACCATAGAAGACCAAAAATGAATTTCAAATTTCGCCAGTCTCTTATCATTTAAGCTTTCTACTAGAGCTATGGAATAGGTATTTATATTAACTCTGAAGCGATTTTTGTCTTTAAGGAGCCTTTTTAGCCAAACTTTAGTTTTATTTTCGGAGTGTGCGATAGATTACCTCTACGTTGTGCACCTTGAGCAACGTATACTCCTACGGCAAACAAGTCTATGATACGGTAGTTAACTTCTCACTTCAAACTACCATCACCCCATTGTGTATCATATTTCACCACTTCCACAGTACTCATCTCACCTTTTCTCTGCCTTTGTGTTTGTCTGTCTTTTTTACATCTGTAAATCACTCTTCTTTTCCTCCTCTCGAATTTTTCTCACTTTGATGTGCCTCTCATTTGTGAAGTCCGAAGTCAGCGAAAGGATTAATGATAACTATCAAAATGCCTGTCATTTGAAATGAACAAATAAACTAATTTCAACAGTAACAGAATTAATGACAGATAAGTTTGTAGATTAAACAGTTCCCACATTTGATCCACGATATTAATCATAAATACTGATATTCTTTTAATTGTCAATTACGGATTAAATGAAAGAAGCCATTAATGTTATAATGATCAAGATTAAAAGCTACTATTAAATGAGCACCGAACACAGTGGGTAGACATTTGAGGCGACTACGTGAGGAATAAAGACTTTTCCATTTATAAAGAAAGTTGGCCATTCCAATAAATTTCGTAGAACGCAAATCCAAAAAGAACAATTGTGACAAAATTATTTTAACAGCCATTAAAATGATTCATTAACGTAATTACTCAAATTGAACAGGTGTTCATTTCAAGGGTAAAGTTTAATAATTGCATTCACTGGGGAAAATCAAAATAAAATTTTATAATTGACGTAAAATACGATTTAGTAGTCATTATGACCTCAGAGTTTAAAATTATTTCTTATGGACGGGTGTATATTGCACTCATAGTCAATTTGTCAAGAAATATTTATCATCTTTTGTTTGTATTTTCACAAAATACTTCAACTTTGAATTTGATTTGCCAAAAATTCATAATTTCATTGAGAATCGCATTAAATTAAAATTTGAATGGTGAAAATAATGAATATTTTAAAATTCGCTTCATCAAAAAAAAACATTTCACATCAGTAAAATTGCATGAGCATCATAATATTTTAAAATAAGTAATTTAGATAAAATATTGTAAAGTGATTGAACAATGGGAGTAAATATATTATATACGTATAGATTTATTCTTGGAGAAAAAATAAATACTAGCAGTTTGTTTAGGTATGTCGAAGCTGAAAGTCGGAATATTGAAAACAAACTTACCATAGTATTGAAGACTTTGTAGTTACTGTTTATCTAAGCTAATTTACAAAGCCTGGGGTGCGCGATAGACTTACCTCCTCGTGGTGCACCCTGGACAACGTATTTTCTTACGGCAAAAAAGTCTATCAATCGGCATACGTTTTTGACTTCGATTAATTATGATTAGCTTTGAAAAAGGCTATAAGAAAAATCGACCTCGTCAGGGCGAATCACAATGTCTTCAGATCCTCCAGTGGAATCCTGGAGGAATGTCTCCGGACAAAAAGATCCAAATACAGAAAATCCTGCAAACCTATGATGTAGACATTTTCACAATTATGGAAGCTAACATTTCGGATGACAAACTGAAGTATCACCAATTCCCAGGTTACACCCTGCACAATCTACCTAAATACCGGCAAGTTGCAAGTGGAATTCTAACTGGAGTAAAAGATGGCCTCACCTCACACTACGACCTAATCAAGAGTATGGGCTCGACACAAGACAAATGTGAAATAATCAGATTAAATGTTTGGAAATGTCAAAACCAATTCAAGATATATGCAGTCTATAATCCTCCCCAGAATTGTCCAAACTTTGACTTTCTGAACATCTCACACAAAACCATAGTATTAGGAGACTTCAACGCCCACTCCACCAGATGGGGCTACAAGGATACAAACATAGCTGGAAAGGAAATTGAAGACATGCTAAACAGCAACACTCTGGAACTTATTTATAGCAATGAGTATCCGGCTACATATTCGCACTACAATGGATCCAGAACTACTCCTGATTTACTCTTGGCTTCAAGCGACATCAGTGAGCACACACACCGCAAAATAATTGACGATCCTGGTTCTGGTCACAAACCAGTCATTGCTAGTATTACCTTCGGCAGCAAAAGCATGTCAAGGAAAGTGCCAACTAAGCTATCATGGAACTTCAAGAAGGCTGACTGGCCTAGATTCACAAACCTTTTAGACAATGAACTTCATTCAAGTCCCCTCAACTTCAACCAACATCCTGACAGACTTTGCACTGCTATCACGAATATTATGATCAGATGTGCAAAGAAAACTATTCCCCGAGGCAAAACAAAACACTATCGAGTGTTTTGGTCTAAACACCTTGAGGAACTGAAAAGAAAGAGGGACGCCCTTCGCAACACTGCTGATCAGACTGGAAGAACGGAAGACGTAAAAGCCTGGAGACGACAGTCAGCTGTCCTAAGGCAAGCCATCTTGCAAGGTAAACGCACATCTTTCGACAAGTTCATCTCAAGTATCAACTACCAAAGTGATAGCCAACGCACTTTCAAATTTCTGAGAAACCTCCAAAACAACAGAGAAAGACCCAAGAAAGAACCAATACGCTTAAACAGCAAATTGCTTACCACCGACAACGAAATAGCTAACTGCTTTGCGAAGTTCTATTCCCACAAGCAAAAGAAAAACCCTTTTGTCAGAAAATCTTCAAGAGATTTAAAGATACAAGTAAGANGAACCCATTAGCAGACATTGATGTAGTGTGTCGCACCCAACTGCTCGACTTCTTCAGGAAATCAAACACTCCTCCCGAGCAAATGCGCTCACTGGCCCTTGAGACAATCAGTGTCAACTATCCTGCAGATCAATGGCTCCAAGTCTTCACTGATGGGTCATACACAGAAAACCAAGCAAACGTTGGTACAGGTGTCTATTCTGAACTCTTCTCTTTCTACGCAGCAGCGGGACATAATAGATCCGCTTTTGAAGGAGAAATAGAGGCCATTAGGATAGCACTACGCCAATTATGTTGCCTGGATACGAAATTCACCAAAGCGGTGATACTTTCGGACTCACAGTCAGCAATAAACTCTATTGGAAACAGAGAGACACCCAAAACAGCTGAGATAAAGGAATGTAGAAAACTCTATGAGCTGCTGAGAGAGAAAAACAAAACAGTGGTCCTACAATGGATTCCTGGTCACTGTGGCATTAAAGGCAATGAGATTGCTGACACACTTGCTAAGAAGGGGACAACAATTTTGCAATGCATGGACCGGCCCATGTCTTTCCACATTGGAGAGAATTCCAGACCTCAAGGTACAACGAACTCAAAGCTCGAACAAAGGAGAAACAGTGGACAGTGGCACTCTCCGACATACCCGACTGGCCAAGAATCGAAGCCGTTGCTGAGTTTAGACTACGTACCGGATACGATTGCTTGGCAAAACACCTTCACAGATTGGGAGTATACACTCAACCCACATGCCCTCTATGTAACCTACATGAGGAAATGGAGAAGACCCACCTGATTCGGTGTCCAGCTCTAAAGACAAGGACGGAAAGCCAAAGATACTGGGAAGCAAGAAGACTGCTAATGAACTGCTATTAATTAACTGCTATAAATGTACCCCCCCCCCTCTTGGGGCAAGCTGAAGTCAAAGATTAAGGGCTAATGATAAATATCATAAAGCCTGCCATTTGAAATAAATAAATAAATATTTACAAAGCCTGAAAAGGACAATTGCTATTATTTTGAAGGCTTCATATATCTCTCTTATTAAAATGCCATTCTTGTGAATATTAACACTTTACATATATATATGTATTTACATAAGATAAAATAGTTTACATAAAAGGAAAATACAATATGCTAATATACACTATTTAGAATTTTTCAGAATCGGGTATTCTAACTTAGTAATATTGGTAGTAACCATACATTGGTCCACAGTAACCACAGTATCCACAGCAATCATATCCAGGTCCGCAGTTACAACAGCATCCATAATTACACCAACAACCACAGGGACAATAGACAGGGCCAGGTCTATATGCATATCTCTCTTCTTGCCAATCCATGTTACGTCTAACGCAGTCTCTAAGGCCTCTGTAGATCAAATAGAGCAGTAGGTAAGTCCTCAGATCACTCTCCGTCAACGCCGTTGCCATTCTAACCAATTATTTTCTCTCCAACTAGGATTAACCAACTTAATATATTGACGCAGTTCGCGTTGGTCAGCTGTTTAGTGGGAAATATTTATCGATGTGAAAAAAATCAATAATAAGGGAGGGGACTGTCTCACTTCATGTTTGTCTCGTGAAGTGTCATATGTTGGTCTTTTGAGAACTAAGTTCTTCGGTTAGGTGTGGGGGGGGGTATTGCGCAGATACGGATGTGCGAATGTACTGTGACCTTCAAGTTCAGATCAGATGTTTCAAGGATTGAGTTAATTCACCAGAAATTAAGATACTTTAAGGATTACTTTCAAAAGGTGTTCTTATTTCATTTTGCTTTCGATTCAACTTAATTATTTTTCCGATCATCATATGTCCGGTCATATGTAAAGCGTTAATGCATAGAAAGTGAAAGAAATTATTTCCTTGTTCAACGCATTTTTCAAAGTCAAAAGTTTATTTTTCTTAATAATGGCTTCTCTGTCAACAGCTAAGTTTGTAATCTTCAAATGGTTAACATAATCCATAACTATTAGCATTCTGGATGGATAAACCAATAACTGTCAAGATGTCACCGTGATAATGGGAATAATCCTAGACGAAAACACCTTTACGATCTTACACTATTATTAGGTTATTGATTTCATTCCCAGAATATCTTGATAATTGGATCAAACCTTAAATAAATAAATGAAACCAACTGCCCATCCATAGTTTGCGTGCTTGTAGGAGTGAACGGAAACTTCTTAAGGAAACTGTTTTGTTTCATAAACAATAATTCAAAAAAACTTGGTGACACAAAACAAAGGCGGCCAAACGTTGTTTTCTATTGTGAATTTGGCTGAGAAACACCTTAGGCATTGAAAAAGTCACGGCTTAAGATTTTAAATTTTGTAGTAAATTTATGTTCTGCAACTGTCAAATGTATTTCGAGGTTTGCGTAGTTTCCATATTAATCACGCCATTTATACCTTAGTTTAAATAAAATAAATTAATATTGAAAATCTATTTAAAATAAGTCATATTTTATTTTATGGCCTATTGAACAAAATTTAGGTAAAATAAATTAACCGTAATCTTAGCAAGGCAAATAATTCAAAAAATTGTTAAACGTAAAATTTGAAATATGAATAAATTTTTGTCAAAATAGATTACTAATATTCTGCTTCCAATATTCAAATTAAAACATTTTTTTGTCCTCAACTTTGATAACTAAATAAAATGAAGAATTTTTGCGGTCTTGTGAGACACAAGATTAAAATCTCCAAGGAATATGAATTAAAGACTACTTTAGATTATTAAAAATTTATTCTAAAAATTTTTAACTTTAATTTAGAAGTTATTAGTATTTTTAATTTCATAATTAGGGTAGTTGGATGGCTGAAGAGCGTTGTATCAAGAAACCATCAACGAATAACGCTCTTGAATCGAACTTAACCGAGGTTTCGATACTCTTCTGTCTAATGACAGATAGACATGACCAAAGAAATATTTGAAATTTGAAATATTACCTTTGGAATTATTGATTTTTTGCCACTGAGAGGTTGCCTTTCTTTATTTGTTTATAAAATTAAAAATACAAAAAAAGTTATGAACAATCGTAATAAATACAAGCGCTTTAAATAAATGAGCATACATCTGAAATCAAATATAAAAAAAATTTGCAAAAACAATTTTCACCGATTCATAATATTTTAAAACTCCACGTACATGTGGCAAAAATATTTGTGTAATTCCATTAAGCAGTTATTATAAGTAGGCAACAGGTTAGAAAAAGGCGATTTGAAAGAAATCTATTTTTGGAAATTGGGTAGTATTAATAAAATAGGTCTTTGATTAGTTGTAGTAAAAGTTTGCACCAAGCGGCTGAGAAGAGGGCGAAAATCATCCTGAAAATGGAATCTCTGATGAGCTAAAGTGCCGATTGGGTCGAGTTTGCAAGCCCTTAAAGACCTTCAACTCGATGTTTTATTCGTTTATCAAACACCTATTGGAACAATCCATTTCACTTGTGTCATTTTCTTGTTTCGACATTGAATCTTCTGCCCCAAATGAAGAGCAAATAATGTCGAATACAGTGGGCGTGCGATAGACTTACCTCTACGGGGTGCACAGTGGGCAACGTATACTCATTAGGCAAAAAAGTCTATAAACCAGCAGTTGACTTCTGACTTCAAATTACCATCACCCCACTGTGTTTCATATTCGTCTACTTTCACAGTACTCACCTCACCTTTTTTCTACCTTTGATTCAGTCTCTTTTACATCTGTGTAACACTCTTCTGTTCCCTCTCCCTCTCGACTTTTTTTCACTTTGATGTACCTTCCCCAATTTGAAGTCCAAATTCAACTAAAGAGCTAATGATAACTATCAAACGCCTGCCATTTGGTATAAATAAATGTCGAATTCAGAGAACGCTTTAACCTGGGTGAACTTGAGTGTCATATGTTACGCCAAGATCACATTAACCCGTGAGATTCTCGCATCTTTTTATCATAAAATGAAAAGTGCAGGCAAGAACGTATTTCTCAAGGTTAAATAATTTCATGCGATGAAAAAATCCTCATTATTAGAGAGCAACTTACATAAGAAGCCGTAGACATCACCACATCTCAATCTTACACCTTTTCTCAGTACTTTCTTTCGTAATTAGACGAATGCAAACTGGTTTGTGAACTGCGAAATCGAAACAATTCAGGCGCATATAGTACTCTACCCCTCTAAACAAGTTTCTAACGAAGCTATTTTTCAGGCTAACTTAAAGGGCAAAGTTAAATGAACTCAACTTTTGAATGCTTAATAAGTTAAGTCAACTGAGGATATTGCTCATTTCCGGACCCCAGTTCCTTAATTTATTATCATAATTCCGGGGTGTGCGATAGACTTACCTCTACGTGGTGCAAACTGGGCAACGTATACTCATACGGCAAATAAGTCTATAAATCGGCAGTTGGCTTCTGAAAATTCAAGCTATCATGACCCCACTGTATGTCATATTCGACCACTTTACAGTACTCACCTCACCTTTCATTTACTTATGTGTCTGTCTCTTTTACGTCTTTACAACAATCTTCTGTTCCCCCTCCCATCTCGACTTTTTTCGAGTTGATGTTCCTTCTCCTATGTGAAGCCTGTAGTCAACTAAAGGGCTAATGATAACTACCATAAAGCCTGTCATTTGATATAAATAAATAAATTATTATAATTCCGGCTCATCAACAATTATTATTATATAAGAAGCCCAGCATCCACAAAATAACCCCATGCCAGTATTTAACATGTACCAATATATGAGAAGTATATATATATATATATA